AGAGTCGCGGCCCGCCACGCCAGTTGTTTTCCCTTTTTTTTTTCCCCAGGCTCGGTGAATGTCTGTCATTGCGGGTCCGGTACAGTCATGATGAGGATGTGTTGTGGTCGGGGGAAAATGGTAGTTGATGACTTTGTTGACCGGTTCGTTACCTCGCTTCCTGGTCTGGTTGGTTTGTTGGATTATTTAGACATTGGTTTCTTGATTGGTCTGTTGATTGGTTTATTGATGGGTTTGTTGATTGGTTTGTTGATTGGTGTATTGCTTGCTGTATTGATTGTTGTATTGATGGGTATATTGCTTGGTTGGTACATTGGTTGGTTTGTGTTCCTGTCCCAGGTCCAGTTCGAGTTCCTGTTCCAACTCCGGTTTCTATTCCTGTTTCAGATCCCGTTAAGTTTTCGGTTCCTGTTCCAGATTGGGTTTGCGTTCCTGTTCCTGTTCCTGTTCCTGTTCCTGTTCCTGTTCCTGTTCCAGATCCGGTCAAACTTGTGTTCCTGTTCCACATCCGTTTAAATTCGTGTTCCTGTTCCAGATCCGCTTTGCGTTCCTGTTCCAGACCCGCTTAAACTTTTTGTGTTCCTATTCCAAACTCGGTTTACTTTCCTGTTCCAGATACGGTTATCATTCCTGTTCCTGTTCCTGTTCCTGTTCCTATTCCAGATTCGGTTTCTGTTCTTGTTCCAGATTCCAGTTGCTCTTCCGTTTGTCTGAGATCAGTTCTCGCTACTGCCACACTCAGACTAACCCTTTCTCAACCTAATCTGGGCGAAGTTACGGTCAGGTGCATCCGCAAAAAGGTCTTACTTTGAGCATCCTCTAATGGAGGAAATATACCCATTTCCAAACCACTCCACGATCTCCGAGAACAACTCGCCCATAATGATAATGAGTCATCCTCACCGCGTCCTGTTCCAGGTACTTTCTGGTACTTTCTGGTACTTTCTGGTACTTTCTGGTACTTCTCCTTTTTTCTTTTTTTTGCTCCTGATCTGTTGGACCTACGATTAACAAATAAATATATATAAATTTGCACATTATTCCACCGCCACACAGGTACGTGCCTTTCCATGTTCCTGTTCTTATCCCTTTGCCTGTTCCTGATCCCTGCTGCTGTTCTTTTCCCGCCCCCCCTGGTTCTGTTCCTGGTCCTGGTACCGGTACCGGTCCTGGTCCTGGTCCTGGTCCTGGTCCTGGTCCGGGTCCTGGTCCTGGTCCTGGTCCTGGTCCGGTTCCGGGTCCTGGTCCTGGTCCTGATCCTGGTCCCTGCTGTCCCTGCACCCCCCTGGTCCTGGTACTTTCCATGTTCTTCCGTCTATCCCTTCATGTTATTTTCTGTTGTCGTCTAACCAAATCGCGGAACAGCGAGCCAGGCCGTACAGGTTCTAAGGAAAGGCGATTGGTCCTTCGGGACATCCGTAAAAATTGGAACGATACAGAGACAGAAGATTAGCATGGCCCCTGCGCAAGGGTGACACGCATAAATCGAGAAAAGAGATAGTTTATTTTTATTTATAAAGCAAACTTACAGCTTCAACTGCCGACAGAGTTTCTTGAGTGACATCGGATTAATGTCAAATCCCTCCTCCATGGTGCAACTTGTGCCCCTGCGATGACCACTTCGTCTTCCAAAGCTCAGCTTCGACGCCTTTACGGACGGCCCTTTCCCAAACCCTCCAAACCCCCTCTTCCCTCAACCCCCCCGCCCCTCCCCCCTCCCTCTCAGAACGTACCCTTCACAAAACCTTCGCTTCTGGTCTGCTGCTCCTGCTCACCTGACACAGCTCTTGTCGCTGTTGTGCCACTGGTGCCAATTCCTCTTTCCTCCCTCCTCCTTCTCCCCCTCCTCCTCCTCCTCCTCCTCCTCCTCCTCCTCCTCCACCACCACCACCACCTTCTCCTCCTCCGCGGCCTCGTCGGAGTTGTCCTTCAGTTGGTAATGACTGGGGCCACCGCCTCCTGTTCATTTGGTTCATCCTCCCTCTTAGGCGTCATTGTAACGCCTAAGGGCATATCTTACAGTATGATATCTACAGCATCAGACTGAGTACGATAACAGTCAATGATCTGGAATGGATCAGGCCTTCTTCCCGGACAAATGCATACAGGGTTGTCAGGGTGACCCTCCTAGACTTGCAGCTGCTACTCAGCCTGCATTCACTCTCCTCTTCTTCTTCCTCTTCTTCCTCTCCTTCTGTTCGTCTTCCTCTTGCTCTCCCCTCTCCTCCTCCTCCTCCTCCTCCTCCTCTTCTTCCTGCTCCTCCTCCTCCTCCTTTCCTGCCTTCACATGACAACAATTCATATTCGTATTTGTCAATCCCTGCAAGAGTTACAAACATGCGCGCCCCACGCGCTCCGCTTTCACGATCGGTAGGGGGCTGACGCGGGCAACGGACGACTGGATACTCACACTGGGACTTTTTTACCCATTCGTTCGTGGACGTAATTGCGGTCAGATGCATCCAGGTCCGGCCGCCAATGGGGTCAGACAGATAGAGCTGGGTAGTGTCAGTACTCGCTCACAACACCGCCGTCCATGCAACAACGGTCAAAACAGGGGGGAGGATTTTGGACCATTTCTCGATTTATCCTTGCGCAGGGGCCATGCTAATCTTTCTTTTTTTTTTTTTTTTTTTCCCAGGCTTGACGAGTCATAGATACAGGAAAGTGACCAGCCTTCCCAAGAAAAAAAAAAAAAGGCAGCGACGAGCCATGCTAGTCTTCTGTGTATCGTTGCAATTTTATTTATTTATTTATTTTATTTTATTTTTTTGAAAGTCGAATCATATATTGCAAGAACCAATGGAACGAGGCCAGGGACCTCACAATTCAACCCGGAGTTATCCTGGCAGCCTCAGCCAGTTTCGCTTACGAGCCCAGCTCAATGTTATGGTATCAGCACTGTCCATTTCCAAAAAAAGTACCTGCTGAAAACCGGGTTCAGCGTCCCATTCTAAAGAACCAACTTTCAAAATATAACCTTGAAGCTCAGAAAAAGGGCTGAACTACCAAGTACAGGCTAGCTCATCTTAATCACCCCATCAAAAGCTAAATTTCCCATCCTGATTAGGCCTGACGGGATAATCTATGGGACCTCTCAATCATGGGTGTCGGACAGCCACTTACATATTTCCAATCTTCCTTCCTGACTTATAGAGGCCAACCTACTCCCCATGGCCCAAGTCTTCTGGGTCCAGATGAAGTTTTTTCCTACCCAATCTGCTCTAATGACTCGTCTGATACTCTGTTTTACCAGCTGCTGTTGATGCTGGAGGGAGAGGTCTTCCCCTCTGAATACTTTTGCATTCCTTGCCTTCCAGATCACCTCCATGAGGACACCCCGACAACACAGAGCTATATATCCCCAACCAGAGGAATAGACAGCCCCCTGTGGTAGGATGCCCGTTAGCATCCAGGAATCTGACCAGACAAAATCTCCTTTTGTAATTTTGTTCCAATGAAGCGTCCACCACATCAAAAGTTTGTCTGCTAGCGGGCACAATAGCCAAATGTGCGCCATATTTTCCCAGCCCCAGTTGCACCGCCGGCATGTTGTGGAGATTTCCATACCTCTTGTTGATAACCACATTGCAGTGGCTGTCACCAACAGGGATTGAATCCACATTATACTCGCATGCTTCTGGGCTGGGATGAAAGTGAGAGCTTTCCACAGACTAAACAGGCCTTTCTCTGAGACGCCCTCCAGTTGCTGTGCTTCTGATCTCTTGATCGCAAGGGCAGCCGCCGTTTTCTTTAGCTGTCCTTGCTGGCTCTGAACTCCCATTTTCAGTTTATAATGGAATAGAGGTGTAAACTTGGTCTGAACTTCCCAGCCTGTCAGAAGGGGCTCCACCTTGAATCGGTCTGCTTTTCCTATTAAGAGGGCAGACTTTTTCCCGGCTTTAGATTGTTGAGAGAGCACTCTCACTTCTTCCAGGGAACTGGTGTCCTTGATCAAGAGATCCTCTTCTTCTAACCTCAAGGAGCCTGCATTAGTTGCTCCTCCCTCCAGTAACCAGCTTTGCATTCTCATCCCTTCCCTCAGGTCAGGGCCAGTAACACGTAAAACTCGGTTGGGCCGATCCTCTGTCTGCAGCCATGTTCCAGCCGCATAATCTGTTTTTGGTCGCAGTAGCCGAATCCAGGCTTGTGACGCGCTACCTCACGCCATGTGCTGTCTTCCGTTCGGAGTGTTAGCTGTGCGGAAAAGAGGCCCAGAAAAACAGCCAGATGGGGTGTGCCAAGGATTTTTGGAAATTGAGTGTGGGGACACAGACAGAACTGAGATCCCCCGTGTTGGTCCGATGGAGCAAGTCGACTGTTTTCGCGCGTCGCGGAAGGTGCGCGCAGGCAAGGTGGGAAGGAGGGAAAAATCCAAATTCAATCCAAAAAGTATTGCCGTGCCTCCCATCGGGCTACCGTCCGTCGTTTAGAACGGAAAGGCTTGGGCACGCTTCGCGTATCTCGTTTCCGTATCAGGTCTGGTCGTCGTTCACTGGTTACTTCTGAATCCGACGTGGATGGTCTCAGCCGTGTGGCTCTTTCTTTGTGCTCGTCTTCACTCCGTATTCGGAATTGAAAGCCTTTCGATTCGTAGAGATCGAAGCGTTGGCACTCAGTGCACAAGGTTCAAGGCCAATGAGGCGTCACTGCCGTCCACGGAATGACGATCAATTCGTTAAAGGGGAGCAATA